AATTCTATCATGATCACTTAATGTTAAACAAGCACCATGAATAATTGTAGATGTAGTTGTTATTGATGAACCATCATATCCTTCATCGACTGTTGTTGTTGTTATTGAAGATAGATCACTACTTGATGTATCAAATAAACCTAATGGATGAGTGATAGATGCTAGAAAATAATAAAAAAATATATATATATATAGATGAATAATAGAGAAAAGTGAATATGTAAGTTCCGACACGTTGTACTTCCTTTTGAATAATCTATTAAATACGAAGACAATTATCAATGGATCGATAAGAAATGATATGATTTTTTACATTCTCAAAATTCTGAAAACAGTTCATGTTCTTAGGTTATTGCTGTAGGGATGCTGCACTTTTACAGTATTTTTTAAATAAATGCTGTACTAATTTTCGAATATTGATTCGAAACTTTACATACTACCAACGATGAAATGCTTGCGAATCGAAATTTTTAATGAATAATTTCATGAATAGGCAACCACAAAAAACACAAGGTTCTCAAAAGATTTTTTTTTGTTTGTAGAATTCGTCGCGATGATTATTTCGTTAAAATATTCAAAAACATCTACTACTGTTGTGCAACAGTCAGGAATAGCCGAAGTTTTTGAGTATTTTCGTCCTAGCATTATGATTTATTGAATAAATTTGAACATTTTTTTCTTATCAAAATGATCAAAGTAACGAATTCTACAAACAAACAAAAATCTTCTGAAAACCTTATATTTTTTTACGGTTGACTACTCATGAAATTATCCATCAAAAATATGATTCTCAAGCATTTTGTTGTTGGCAGTATGCAAAATTTCAAGTCGATATTCGAAAATCAGTATGGCATTCATTTACAAAATACTGTAAAAGTGCAGTTTATCAATTTGAGAATCTTCTGTCGTAAATAAAATTAATCATAAAATTAAAATGAAAATTTTTGTTTGTACAATTCAATTAGAGATGAGATCGGTTCGCATTATTTTGAAACCGATTCTATCTCTAATTTCAATCTCAGAGAAAAAAAGCCACATACTATTTAGATTGAGTTCTTGATCAATAAGTTCTGTTAAATTTGATAAAGAATCACTCATTGAACCATCTCTTTTTGATATTGTTTGTGATTGTTGTTGATTAGACGTTGATGATTGTTTAACATAAAGACGCCATGGATCTGGCATATTAGTTGTTTCACTTGTATCACTATTTGTTTGACCAGGACGTTTAGAATTTATTTGTAATAAATGACAATTACCAGCTCCATATTGTTGTTTAAGATCACCAAATACGGATATAGCTCTGAAATAATTTAAATAAAATAAAATAATAAAAACGAAATTTAAAACATAGAAGAAAAATCATATTTGAAATTCAATATTTAAAATAATCAAATAGTCAAATTATAAATATTCAATTTTCTTCCTTTTATAAAATCTAATTATTTATAAATCAAAAACAAAAAGATATTATTCTAATTGATTCCATCACAATTCTACAAATAGATTTTTTTTTGCCTATTTGAAATCAGAAATACTTCCTCTCTAAGATCTCGATTTCTTTTTTTATTACTATCTGCAAAAACTAACGACTATCCTATAATGAATTTAGCATCGTGAAAAGATATTATAAATCTCTTATACCAAATATAATTAAACTATACAACATCTTCCTCATTGTAAAATAATACAAATTTCAAACTTAAACCGTTTAATCCCAAAATTAAAAGTTCTTCATAAATCCCCCCCCCCCCCCCCCAAAAAAACAAGCATATCTTACTTTCGTATTGAAATACTGAAAGATAGATATATATATATATATAGAGACAGAGAATTAAAGATATAACTTCAATTGTATATTATTCATATTCTATATAATAAAAAAAAATTTTTTTTTAAACATACTTAGATTCTTCTCCTTCAGTAACATCATGTAATAAAACAAAATATTTATATATATTTGTCATAAACCATTTAGGTAATTTAGCTGGTATTTGTTGTTGTTGTTGATTTTGTAGTTGAACAAGTTTAGAAAATGCATCTATTGGATCAAGATGTGATGTTGATACAACCATAATACCTATTTTGTTTATTTATTAGAAATCAATTATCTTACAAAAATCTAAACTTACAGGCAAGATAATTTTTAAGAAATTCATGATCACCACTATATGCTATACGTAAAAAACAATCTCGCCATGCATCAAACCAAGGTGTTGTATCTAAAATTTCATTGAAACAAAACAAAACAAAAAGGCGTTATTCTTCAAAACAAAAAATAATTCTTATCAATATTATTTTACTTTGTATATGTAATTGATATTGTTCTGTATCAATTTCACGTTCATTACTTGTTGATCCATTAGTTAATGCATTAAATACACAATCATTTAATAATTTTTTTGCTAAAGTATTTTGTGGAGGTAAAGAATTATAATCTTTTATTTCAAGACGTAAATTTTTTAATACAATCAAAGTATTTGATGGATCACGATAACCAACTTAACAAAAACACACACACACACACATTGAAAATAAAAATACATTACAAAAAAAAATAAAATACCTTCAGATGGAAGTCGACAAAATGGTTGAATTAATTCAGCAAATGTTAAATTATTTTTTCGACAAATAGTTTCAGCATCATAACTACATAAAACAGCAACCATGGGACAAAATGCATCTTGAATAAATTCACTAACAGATTTTTTTGTTTGTGCCATGAAAAATTATACTAAAAAAAGTTTCAATCAAACTACTTCAAATGAAAATTTATCTTCATCAAATATATATATGTGCTACATATAAATTTATTCATAGGATATTTATCTATCGAATGATATTAAAATATAAATCCTTTAAATTGATCGAATAAAAAAAAAACTTGAAGAGGACGCTAATGTAGCATTTTTCATCTATAATAAATCTTTCTTCATATTAATCTATATACAATTTTATCTTATCGACAAGGTATATTAAAGAATATATATTTCAAGGATATTGCTATCTCTGGAGAAATATTGGCAATGATTCAACTAACAGGGGAACATTCTTAGATGATCACTCGTTTTTAAGCTTATTTATTTACTAATGAGTAGAAGATCACTAGATTAGAATAACTCCCGCAAGATACATTCTCTTATTGAGATATGAAGGTGATAACGAATTTTTTGTGGATTTTTTCTGTAGGACTTCAGTTTTCCAATAAAATCAGGTCACACCTGTGAACAAAATTAATTTATATATTTAGACAGACTAAGATAAAACTCAATTATTCAAAATAAGATCTTTTTTCTTTGTATTTCATTCTGTGCGTGACATTTTCATATATTTTATTCATTCCGAATCGATTGCTAAGTGCATAGCTTTGTTGAACATGTAACTAATGGATCGTGATCAGCATCAGATAAGCGTTTAAGATAATAATTATTGATTTCTACTATACTATGTTTTATGTAGAATTGTTCAGCACGTTATTACAAAATCTCGGAAAAAAAAATTTACATTAGTCGGTATTAAGGAATTTATCCTCACATTATTGTGTTTATATTTTTATTATTACAAATTGTTATTCTCTATCTGCCTGCATATAAACTAAATTTGTTGGACCTCAAGACTTATGAAACATTCTATAGAGCGTTTTTTTTCCAGCATCTATCGATGTTATCTATACTGGTACTAAATATTTAAAGTCTAAAGAGAAAAATTTATCAAACAAAGGAGTATCCTTGTCAACAAGTAGTATGAAATTTCATTTCGACAATGTGAACAGCACACAAAAGATATTATTCTTAACTATCTTAAAATAGAAAATAGTTGACGTCGGATAACTGTTGAAAATGACCTTCTCGAATGTCAAACTATCACACAAGGTGTTTGAAAGAAAGTGCTTGTAAAATTAGTCATATAGAACTTATCCTTACCTATGCACAGATCGATAGAAATAGTCTATAGCCTTCATATGTACATGAAACCCGGTTATTGGTTACAATGAGCTCTTCTTATTTATCCTTCACATGAGCTACTAAGCTATTTTCAAAGGACACTATCTTTTTTTCATGAATAAATTTTTCAAGTTGTAAAAAAATTTTTAATTTTCCTACATGAAACTTTGACAAGTAAAGAACGTCTCTTGTAAGCATATACATTCTCTATATGGATATTTATGTTATAAAACTTAAGCACGAGCTAACTTCGAGAATTTTTCTTAAGCTTGTCTGGAAAAAAATGGGTCTCAACTCAGGACTCCGTCTCGATTCTTCTCCTCGTTTCGACCTCTATTTCTTATCACATTCAAATAACAAAACTACTAGCATTATCGAACCGAAAATACAATTATTTTGATTATAACAATTATCATAGAAGTGACAATATAGAAATGGTTCACGTCAATGTTATTAGTATTACTCTGTTGAAAGATTAAGGACATTGTCAAACAAACAAAAGATATAACATGATCTTGTATACATTTAGAAATTTTGTCAGAAAATATCACATTTCGACATTGATGCACTTCTATCTTTGACAAAACTTGTTTATTTAACATGTTTATATTCTTTATTATGAAAATATATACCGAGTGTTTTGTTTTTTTTATAAAAAATTACTTAATCATACACAGATGGAATTACATTCACAGAGAGAGGTCGACAGAAAATGTTGTAAACGAAAGTGTTGAAAGCAGAAGTATCGAATGGGAACGCATTCACAGTCTGCTTTATTGAATCATCCAAATTAATTGCAATATCTTGTTGGAGCAACTTATTTTCTAAACTTCAGATATCTATATAATGTAAAAATAAGATTCAATATAAAAAATTTTATTTTTGTAAACTTTTCAGACAAAAATATAAAAATAGAAACGAGTAAATATTTTCAAAAACAAAAAAAGCATGATCCAAGAATTTTAATCGAGCAAGGTCATTTTTGATTTGTATAAATTGGCTGTAAAAATCATTGAGCTGTCATATAAAACATCAATTGGTTTGATATGGTTATATTTATTGAAAAAGAGCTCGCTCAGCTTCTGAATTAGCGAATAATTCTTCTCCTTGATAATATTCATCAATATTTTCGAGAAATGTTAAATTTACAAAAACCAAAGCAGTGACTATAACATTTCTATTTGATTCCACTCGTAGAATAAAATCTTCGTCGGATTTTACAGCTACTCTATATTCTAAATCTTCTGGTTCACCTGGTAATAATTCTCTTTGATTCAATAGAGTCTGTTTATGTTTAGTAAATGAACCTGGTTTTACTCGTGTTTCAACTAAAACACACCATCGTTGATTATCAGAAAATATTCTTTCTGAATATACTCTATCTGCTGCATAAAATATACTTGGTGAAATGAATATTGCATTGGCCCAATTTTCGATTGATCCTACTTTTATATTCAAATGAATATGACCTTCTTGTGTAGAAACTCGATGTTCAGATGATAAAACTGTACCAGCTGATTGTAATCCATATTGCATAATTGAAGATAAATATTTATATCGAGTACCATGCCACGCTAATGTCCAATATTTATTTAAATGTGATGTTGAATATTCGGAACAATAGTCCAAATTTCTCAAAATTTTTTTACCAATAATTCTATCAAAATATTTTATGACAACTAAATTTTTAGCGAGTCCATGACTTTTCAATTGATTTAATAATGAATTAATCTTATCATCAGTTTTCGAAAGAATACAATCTTTAATTTGTTGACTACAAGCTTCCTCTTGAGGTTTATTTCCAAATTTGTTTCTTATTTTTGGATTTGCTTCATATTCAAGTAATAGTTCAACTATTGATTGATGTCCATAAAATGCTGCTGCATGAAGAGCAGTACTTCCATCAATTTGAATTTCATTAATATTACAACCAGCTCTTAATAAGAAATGACATATATTATGAAAACCATTTCTTGCTGCTATATAAAGTAATGTTCTTCCATATTCATCTCGTTCGTTGAGTAAAGATTTTTGTTTTCTAATTTCTTTTACAAATGATTCGTAATTTCCTGTAGTTACATAATAAAAATGATCTTCTGTATTGACTGAAAACTTGTTACCAAATCTCATATATTTTCTTGAGTCTTTTGAACAAATCATATCATATGCTAATGCACATATTGCTCTTTGATATCTTGATGTTGAACGTATTTTCTGTCTAAAAGCATCTTTTACATCTCTTGGAGATGGATTCTCATTTATGCCTAATATATTGAAAGGATTTATCATCTTAAATACTTCCATTTGTTTTCTCGAAAAATGTTTAGTTAATAATAATCGTTGTCTTCAGTTCAAATTACAAATGGAAAGTTGTAATACAATATAAATGAAGATGAATATTGATAGAAAATCTAAAAAATATTAAATAAATGAGTTAAATGTAAACAAGAGAATTGTAACAATTCTTTTGTCTATGATATTAAAACAATAATAATGAGTTTTGAATGAGAAAAATTTACAATGATTCTGTTGAAGCAATGTTTTCTTGTTACAACATAAAATATATACTAAGAAATGGTGAATTCCTAGTTCATACTTGCTAAATATAAAGTCTTCAAATCTAGATTTGTACGACAATATTTTACAAGTTAAATTCTACAATACTACAATTTTCTCAATTTCTAATGCACAAAAGTCAAAATCATTTATTCTATGAATTGAACCTTTACGAGAGCAGATTTCAGTCGCTAATCAAGCTTAAACATAGACATCGGTTAGAAAACACTTCGCCAAGAAGTCTGCCGAAAAACTTAATTTTTATGTTTTTGGTTATTTTGACTCGAATTGTGTGCTTACCTCTTCTAATTAGTCTATGAAAAAGAACTATCTTTATTGCAGGATCTACACGAAATCGACTAATTAGAGAAGCTATGGTATTATGCAATCAAGCACACAGCATCCTTTTTTTTCGGATAAATATAAGAAGACGCGTTCATATATGTTGCTATTCGTTTGCATCACCAGATACTCGCAACATGACCTTTATTGTGCATTGAGAAGAACAATTGATTCAGAACGATTATATTATATGGTGGCTGCGCACTTACAAAACATTGTCAGGTGATTTACCAAGTGTATTTGGGTTACAGAACCAAATTATGTACAGCCGCTAAATAAAGGTCCATTTTTTTAAACCCGGCGTGATACTGCTCTGCCAACTGGCTTTTCAGAGTAGTATAGTTCAGTTTGATTCGTGGCTTTTATTTGCTATCTAAGTTCATGGTTATCTGGTTAAGATGACAAATGTGTAGTGGAAGATATATAAGTGAATAGGAATTTAAGATATAGAGGTACATGACAAAGAACATAGCGCAAAGAGAAATGGTCATCATCCGAATGAATATATAGGCTAATAAATATAGAGTAAACGGATTGAGATGCTTAAGGAAAAATCTTAAAGGATATTGGGTGATGTAGGAATGAGTCAACGAGGAATTGAATTTATTCCATTTTACTTTATTGTCCAAGCTATAAAATCATTGAAAAATGTGTTCTCCTTTGAGTTGTGTTTGTTCTTTTGTTCGTGCCTTTAGCAGACTGAAACAACTAAAGATAAGAACAAGAAAAACAAATGGAACTGAAAGGAGATAACATTTTCCAGTGATTTCATAGCTTGGACAACAAAGTAAGAGAGAATAAGTTCAATTTCTCATGGATCTATGGATGGAGTAGTTTATTTCATTTATATGGACAGATACAGCCATACGGTAGTGAGGGTCATATGTGACATCGCATTCATTAACTCTGATTATGACTGAAAGATGGACTAAAAATTTATTTACTTGATTAGTTTGACCAAGTCTACGTCTTTCTTGATACTGATGGTCAAGACACTAATCGATGAGAATGACTTTTAGACGACCAAAACTAACGAAAACAGTATGGGATGTTTGCTCAAGTTGTCGAGTCAACTATACTCGCTTGAACTTTCTAAAACTCACAACAACGACTACTTTAACATATGGAATATGACTCACGATTTTCTACGCGACAATGATGAATTACTCGTGGCAGACCAAAGAAGTTCGAAGACATTTCGATTTAAATGAGAAATTCTTCACAAATAATCAAATTTTCGGCTAATATTTCACGAAGCATGTTAGTAGCAATCATACTAATAGAATATTAGCTGGATTTGACGCCGTGAAGAGTATCCTCAAATTAGTCATGTCCAAAATAATGATGATAATCTGCTGAAGTATTTGCTTTTGAGCACAATTAGTTAAACTTGACAATGATGCAAAACTTGATTTTACATTCACATTTCTACTAACGCGATGAGAAAAAAGTATTCACAGAGTGCTCTTTCTTTCCGCTGTTGCGCTGCAACTATATATGATGTGTTGGAAGAAATAGACTTACTTTCTCTCAAAACAAATTTCATTTCTCGTAGAAAAATTTATTCCTATTTCATTGATAAAGTTTTTATGGTTCTTGTTGTTTTTTTTTGCAATATGAAAAAAGTTGGAAAAAATCGAGATCAGATTCATAGACGAATATGTTTGTCAAATTACGTAAATAACTTTGAAGCTTAACGGTATTTTCAGTGTGTTGCATCAGTACAACCTTCTTGGAAAATTTTTTTTTTCCATGCGATGTGTGATTCATTCCTACTATATTTTGGCGCAACCAATTTACTTTCTTGTTGTATTCTGCACGATAAAAAAAGCCAAACAACAGTCAAAAGTAGAGGCATGAATGAAAATGATGATCACCAATAAAAAAAAAGGTGCGGTTCAAAGAAATATTTATTGTATACTGTTAGCAACACTAAATGTTGAACAAGTGTATATGTACTCATTGACCATCTGTGATTTTTACTGGACTCATATTCTCAAGTCATCGTATATAGGATTTTATCTCTCCATCGTGTGTTTATAAATGAAACTAAAAGAGTGTCATAATTTTGCAATAAATTAGATATTCCATGACGAAAATTTATATCTTCAACTGTATCGACAATAACTTTCTTACAAAAAAAGTATACCAATTGCTACTTTTTTTTATTATTATTTCATTTTGAAGATGCTTGCTGAGTTCCTAAAACGCACAAACGTGTAATAATGTATACAATTGATCAATTTGTTCCAGTCAAAAACAAAACATTAAAGATCCTAAAAAAGGATTGCGAAGCATTTTAGTATTTCTTCCACGTGACTTCTACCATCAACAAACTCCATGACGAAGTTTTTTTTTTCTCTTCTCTTGATTTACCTGTTACTTTCTGTTGTTTTCATCAACTTAATAATAATTTTATTGCGTCTCGCACTTTGAAATCTGATATTGTCATGTGCCGATTAAATTGACATTTTAACCTCTAGGTAAGATTCATCATCACTAGTAGAATTTATTCCATATTTATTGCTTGTAATATTATGATCTTTCTATTATATCTTTGACCTTTAAGAATATATTTCTTATAATAAAAGTTCATGAGGAAAAAGAAAACTCGATTTTGTAAAGGTAACAGATCGGTTTCTATCAAAAGAACTTTACAATACTTTCTTAGTTGATTTGATCTGAACTATTGAGCTACAGTTGTCCTTGACTTAAATACTTCTACATATTCTGATATCTAAACTTTTCGATGAGTACAATTTTTTGGACCAGATCACAGATTAAAATTCATTCATCTGACTCTATTGTGAACATATTAACGATAGCATTTTGTCGAGCTCTGTTTTTGGAAGTAATTTGTCATATGATGACAACCTCTAACATCTTTCATGAGAGTTGTTAGACAAAAACAAAATCAAAGATGTATCTATGATTGTGACAATAGATTCGCAACAATCGTTATCATACGATTCTATTAAAAGTATGAACACAAACATTGATATTCAAATTAACAACCATTTATAATGAAATAGAAGATACAGTGAATTAAATACTAGCACAAAGGTAAATCAAGAATAGAGATATATCAAAAAATGTTAAATTTTCTATTAATATATGAATCTTTTAGTAGTCATCATATACAGGATATTTCATAGTTCTTCAGGCACAATAAAATTAATTTATATCTAGACAGAGAACAGCATCTAACGGAATATTTTTACATGAATCTTGAGCTCTCGTGTCAGTCTTTCATATAACATATTGTTGGATGATATCTTCTCTTGTAATAATAGCCAAGACTCTTAGAAATTTTATTAATCGTTTTCTTCATTCTTTGTTCAATCTAATTTTTATTTGTTTAAAGCTTGAATATTATTCTTCTTGCCATTTTTCTTTTAGTATTCTTCATATAATTTCAATAGGTCATACGTCAACAAATTTAGCATTATCTTCCTGAGATAAAACTCAATAATTCATCAATAGTTCAAAATAAAATCTTTGTTCTTTGTATTTCATTCTATGCGCAACATTTTCACATATTTTATCCATTTCGATTCTATTACTAAGTACATAGCTTTGCTAAACATGTAACCAATGGATCATGATGAGCGCCGAATAAGCGTTCAAGATAAATAATTATTGATTTTTACTATACTATGTTTTATATAGAATTGTTCACCATTTGATTACAAAATCTCGAAAACAATAGTCACGTTGGTCGATTGTGAAAAATTTATCCTCACATTTTCATGTTCATATTTTTATTATCATAAGAGAAGATATTCTTCAATAATATGTCATTTGAGAGACTGGTACGAGTACTCAAGGCATTCCTATGAAAACATGGAGTTAGTTGTTATTCTCTGTCTGCTTATAAACTAATTTTGTTGCGTCTCAAGATTTATGAAACACCCTATAGTGTATGGAAGACGAGCTCTTACAGGCTTCTGCTAACCTCGTCAGAACCTACTAATGAGTAAAATATCAGTTCGACTGGCGAGTCACACTTGGGGAACCTTCACTCGTGAAATGCAATATTTATTTTTACTTGCTACTCTAATCGAGACATTTGTTTAGGTAAATCTTCAGATCAGAATTCGATAATCTAATTTTGTCGGAAAACCCACGAAAAATTCGTTATCTCAGTCATATATCAATAAGATAATGTATCTTACACATTAGTAAATAAATGAACTCCAAAGCAAGGAATCATCTAAGAATGTTCGCTCGTAAGTAATTACTGGTGTTATATGCTGTGAAATTTTGAAAAGAAATAATTCTTTTTCTTTTTAAGAATTTTTTGTTATTCAATTCTATTATAAAGAATATATATATATATAATAATCTTTAAATATAATTGATCATTTATTCGTGTATTCTGATACATCAAAATTAAAAAACAAAAA